ACAGGTGGATCACCTGAGGTCAGGAGTTCAAGACCAGCCTGGCCAACATGGTAAAATCTGTCTCTACTAAAAATACAAAAAAGTAGACAGAGCTGGTGGTGGGCACCTGTAATCCCAGCTACTTGGGAGGCTGAGGCAGGAGAATTGCTTGAACCATGGAGGCGCAGGATGCAGTGAGCCAAGATCATGCCACTGCACTCCAACCTCGGCAACAAGGATGAAATGCCGTCTCAAAAAAAGAAAAACCAAAAAAACACAAATATGTTCGAATTATTGGTTTGAATATATTTCCTTTGAAGTATTGGAGAAATAAAATACATGCTGCTAGGTTTCAAGGAGTTTACTCTGCCGTTGGGAAGACAAAATCTGAGAGCACTTTACAAACTGTAGAGTGTTAAGCTAACATTAATCATGAATAGTGTCTACAAAGATAGCTAATAATACCAAAAATATATGAATGGCTGAATTAAAGAATATTTCCAATACAAACTATGCATCTGTCTCATCTGGACAAAACATTATTAGCAATATTTTAAATTTTATTAACTCTTTCACCATCCAATTGAACACCTATATTTTTAGCCATCTTTCTCTTGTCCTTTTTCTTTCAGATGTACTCTTTAGATTCCCAGAGTGAAAGCCTCAAGCACAAATCCTAAGAGGAAACTGTTGCTGGAGTTTAGAATATACTTCCTGGATAGTAAGTTTAATTACCTAATTGATTAACCAATTAATGCAAAATGAGTAACAAGTATGTTCTAGCATAGAAATTTAAAAAAAGATGAGCGCACCAAACAAGAAGTGATTTCTGACTTGTAGAAAGAGAAAAAAATAGGTATTTTTGTCAAAGTTTGGAATTTTTAAGCACCATATAAGAAGTAGATATTCCGGCAAAGTAAAATGTCCATGTGCTTTAAAGACTTTTTTTTTTTTTAATGCCAAGTTAATGCCTGAAGCAAATATTCACAGCTCAGATATTATGAGGTCTTTGAAATCTTAGGTTTTATATGAGAATTGAGACATGACATTAATGGACAGCTTTCTGGTTCCATTACATATGATTCTTAGGGATAGGTCAAAGTGTGGTGTTTTTCAAATGTCTGAATTAAAACTAAGTAATAGAATAAGTAAAATTGCGTTTCTTATACCTTCAGGAAAGTGATAAATTGTTTAAACTCTGAAAAATACACTAGTGAATCAGGTGAGGGTAGATGATGTAAGTTATAGTAACTGGAAGTTAATTGGGGAAAATGTACTATTTGTCACATTATTGTTAAAATATTGAGTTGGCCGGGCGCAGTGGCTCATGCTTGCAATCCCAGCACTTTGGGAGGTCGAGGCGGGTGGATCATGAAGTCAGGAGTTCAAGACCAGCCTGGCCAACACAGTGAAACTTCATCTCTACTAAAAGTACAAAAATTAGCTGGACATGGTGGCGAGTGCCTATAATACCAGCTACTTGGGAGGCTGAGGCAGGAGAATTGCTTGAACCCAGGAGGCGGAGGTTGCAGTGAGCCAAGATCGTGCCACTGCACTCTAGCCCAGGCAACAGAGTGAGACTTCATCTCAAGAAAAAAAAAAAAAAAAATTGAGTTGATACAGGGTGTGAACATTCCTTGGTTTACATTCACACAAGAGGCAACTCCCAAATGTGGAACTTCAGTTGTTGCATGTCCATTAAGAAATCCTGGCATTAAATAGAACTGAGCTGAAATTACCAGTCTTTCTATCTAGAGATATAAACTTTTTCTTAAAAAGTCTGTGCAAAATTTTATTTCATAGAAATGCGAACAGAAATCACTGAACACCAATGACTGGTTGCCACTTCTACAAAAGAAAGACTTCTACTGTGTGCTCTGTCAATTCAGTAGAATTATTTTATTCCATTCATTATTTCAAAGAACATATTTTCTTATTTAAAGGTCTCGTTATTATCACATCCATATTGTATCTTCATATAAATGTCTGGAAATCCTTCTGGATTTGCTAGAAGTTTAAATTAAAAATGGGAGTTGAAAATAGAGTCCATGTGTTATAATCTGTAATCACTTCTAGCACTTTTCTGCGATTCAATGACACATCCTGGTGCAAACAGAAACCTTAATATGGACGATCATATTTTGTTTGGCGTGCTTTACACAGTATAAATTAACATAGACCTTTCCATTGAAGTGTAATGGGAAGGGTGGTATTTTTGATCAATAACTTGTTGGAAGAGCTGATCTTACACGTAAGCTCAATTAGTATGTTTGCTCAGTATTTGAGAATGATGAGGCCCACCCTCAAGTACCACTTATTCCACAAAAAAAAAAAAAAAAAAATCAAAACACTACAGAAGGGGAACATATGGTCTGAGTACTATGGGAGGGAAAATGTTACTTAACAGATGAATGTAGGAGAAAGGCCACTGTGCAGAGAAAAGTAGGCACAAAATATCTTTAAAATAAATCTAGGTAAAAGAAAATCTCCACAGAAAGAGGATAATTGACCATTGAATCCCAATATTTTTAATTCCTTATTGCTACCTAAAATTGTCAAATCCGTTCCCTCCCCTTATGAAATGCGTATGTGTAACATATGTATAAACTTATCAAGAAGTTACATTTTGAATTGATGCACACATAATAAATACTGTTTGAATAATTCTGTGACAGAAATCAATACGTGAACCTGCACGTCCTGAATTAGCATCTGAATACACCCAGAACCTTGGAAAATAGGATCTCTTCCTTGGAGACCGTGTAACCTAACTGGGTAAATCAGATGAGCCACACCTCTGTGTATCATTGAAAAACAAAATGAAACCTCTCTTGATGTCTGTCTCACTCTAACTAGGGCACTTGTTCTCACCTTTCACTCACAGCCAATGTCCTGGAATGAGAAATGAACTTTTAACGCCTCTATTTCTCACTTCTCTTGACTCTCCTGCCTACTGAAACTGGGCTTCTACGAGTCGGCTGAAAGAGTATTTGATTGAGTCACTAGCCATTTTCTCTCTGCCAAATGACAGGGACATGGTCTCCCTGGACTCTCTGCTGCATTTGAACCTACTGTTTCTTCCATTTCCCCAGAATGCCACTTTCCCCCAGCCTTGCCCTTGTCCACATTCTGGTCCCTCTGTCCGTCCCCAGCAGTTGTACTGGGTCCTATTTTTCTGCAGTCCTTTAAAACTGATGTTCTATGGGAGTCTGATCCTAATTCCCTTCCATTACTCCCCACGGCTTCCCTAGCATAGAGCTTCCTTAACCTTTTGCCATGTCATGGCAAATATAGGAAAGGGTGTTTTTTCTGTTTAAGGTACAGTAGGGTAAAACAATAGCCTGATTGCATATGGCAGACCCTGGTCTGGGAAAGTGACCTGGTCCTACTGGACCATCCTGGATCCATACTTTGAAGGGATCCACACTTTGGCACAATTCAACCCACTGGTGATATACTGAGCAGGAATCTTCGACCCAGATCTACCCACTTATGAGTTTAGTAAAAATGAACATTTCTCCTGAGTCCCCAATCTGTGTATTCACTGCCTGCTTGAATCCTTCACAACGATGTCACCCCAACACTCCCCTGTGTAAGTGTGAGTTCATTAACCAGTTCTGTGAGCATCTGCCCCTTCTCTGATTTCTGAACTGGTAAGTAGAACCACTAGTCTACCTAAGGCGGAAATATAGAGGTCATCTACCCCTCTCCCTAATCCTTCATAGTCATTGTTTACTAGGTCCTGGGTAATTCACCTCTTAAAAATGTCTTGATCCTAAATTAATTTTCCATTCCTATTACTGCTCTAACTCAAGCCTTTATCATGTCTTGTCAAATGTTTACGATCAACCCAGTACCTCCCTCTCCCTGCCTCTCGTTTTGGGCTGCTCTGATCCACCTTTCTCATGTTACTATCACGAGCTTTTTGGAGCAAAAGCCTCCAGGGTCCTGCCTTGTCCAGCTCCCTCTCCAGTCTCATCCTCTGCACATCCTTGGTCCCACAACAGGATCCAGCCCTACCAGATTTCTTGTTCTTTGCAATGTGTGTGTGCGATTTGCACTCATGCCTTGACACACACTCTCTCCTCTGCCTTTCTGGGGGAAACTGATCTTTCCTGAGCCCTGCTCAAGCACAGTCTTCACTGAAAAGCCACACTGGGTCCCCAGGCTCTACTGGGCAGGCTCCCCATTTTCTGCCACTCCCTCTAACCCCCCAATACAGAGGCTACTTGGGCTCTTATGCCACATCACATTCACCTTCCACACCTGTCTTTCCTCTTGCATGTGTTCCTTGACAGCAGAGATGTCTTTGTCATGCCATGGCCACTTTGGTGCACTGCAGATCACCTATGAATGTTTTTGAAGGAATACATATGCAAGGAATACATATGTAAACCAGGGGGACTTAAATCCCAAATGAGTTTTGTGCAGACCATCTTCTCTGATTAAAATGCTCCTCAATTCTTGAAGCCCCTCCTCCATGTCCCTCCACACAAGCCTTCATTCTTAGGAAATAGCCTACTCATCCTTTGAGGACCAACCTCAGTGCCTTCCTCTGTAAAGATCCCTCACTCTCCCAGACAGGGCCAATCTCTTCACTTCCTGTGTCCAGAGATGTTTTGTCTGTGTCTCAACTATGTCACCATCTGTTTGCAATCCCTCTACCCAGCCAGACTCATGTTCCCAAAAATGAGGAGCTTGCTTGCCTATCATTGTGCCCATAGTGTCTACACAAGGTCTGGGCATAGGAGATGCTAAATAGATGACTGTAGTAAAAACACATGTATTAGTATCTGGAATGCTAATCCCACTATCCCCACTCTGGAACAACTGTAAAATCAGTTTGAGAGTCCCCACAATGGGAGGGCACAGCAAGGTTTTCCGAAGGAAAGGACAAGAGGACCTGAAGTCTTCACTGACTCATACCCTGCTTCCCACATCCTGTGACATTTCAAATCACATCAGCATCCCAAGCAGTTAGAATTATAAGTGACTAAACACTGGCATATCACATCTTTTACCTGCCTTCTGAGTTAAATAATTTACCCCCTAAGTTGAGTTACCTAAAAGAGACTCAAGACTTCCCAGCCACAGTCTGAACGATGGCATAAGAGAGGTTGCTTCAGCCAAGGCTCGACTTGGGGAGTTAAAGAGATTTTCCTCTGCGCTTCTAAACAGATCTGTACAGAAGGAGAAGCAACGCAAAAACATCGCCTCACAGAGGGATCTCACAGCTGAGCCAGCTGGCTCTGCTCAGCCTGAGTTCGTCTGTGACTCTTCTCCCAGCAGGTGCAGAGTCTCTGATGCTTACTAGTATCAGGGGCTGACTGGGCCAGTGAACATTTCCTCAGTGCTCTCTCTGTCCCCACAACCATTCTAAGACCTTTATTCATATTGCCTTATCATAATCCTCACAACTGTGAAATAGATGCTATTATAACATTATCCCCAGTTTACCCCAGAGGAAGTAAGACATAGAGGGTTCATCAATTAACTTCCGGTCCCATACATAGTGAGGCTGCAGGTGGGATTCAAACCCAGTGGGCTAGACTCTGCAAAACCCATGGATCCCAACCCAAATCAAGATTGGAATTCATTCGTTTCTCAAAAAGAGAAAGAAGGTGAAAATTTTTTAATTTGATTTTTAAATTTATACTCAACACAAAATAATTGTGCATATCTATGAGATGTGATGTTTCAATGCATGTATACATAGCATAAATGATCAAATCAGGGCAACTACCATATCCACCACTTTAAACACTTATCATTTTTTTTTGGTGACAACATTCAAAATCATCTCTTTTAGCTGTCTTAAAATGCACAACACGTTATTTGCTATAGTCACCCTACTGTGTATATCCTCCTATTTAACTGTAACTTGGTACCAGTTGACCAACCTTTCCCAGTCCTCCTCAACCACAATTCTTGTCTCCTCCACGCTCCTCAGTCTCTAGTAATCACCATTCCACTCCCCGCTAATATGAAATCAACTTTTTAAGATTCTACATATGAGTGAGATCATGTGATATTTGTCTTTCTGTGCCTGGTTTATTTCACTCAACATAATGTCCTCTGAGTTTCCCCATCTTGCTGCAAATGGCAGGATTTCATTCTGTTTTATGGTTCAATAGTAGTCCATTGTGTGTGTGCACGCATGCTCATGCAACACACATGTGTAAAGACAGCACATTTTCTTTATCCATTCATCTGTAGATGGGCTGTTCCATAATGGAGGACAGTATGGAGGTTCCTTAAAAAATTAAAAAATATAACTACTATATGATCCAGTATTCCCTTTCTAGGTATATACCAAAGAAATAAAATCAATATGTGAAAGAAATATCTGCACCCTCATGTTTACTACAGCGATTGTCACAATAGCTAAGATATGGAGTCAACCTAAAAGCCCAGCTACAGATGAAAAAATAAAATGTTGCACCTTCATACTAATTAACCCAACCAAACCCCTAAAGAAAGTAAAACCCAATCTTCTTTCTAAAGGTCTCTCTTCCCAGGGGACTATTCCAGGGGACTATTCTGTTGCACCACAGGGGGTTGATGGTGATAACTGTTTTTTCCAGGATTTGTTAATTAAAAAGGGTTTGATAGTGTCCTAAGAGATTGGCCCCATAGAGAGAGATGCTGTTGTACCTAGTTATATCAAACTTGTCAAAATCAGGTAATTCTAGTTCCCAGTTGACAAATCTAATTGTCCTAATGCACCACGTCTCACTTCCTACATCAAGGAAAAATGCCAAGCCCATTATGCAGTAATATTTAAGCTAAGTACCACTAAAATTTTTTGCTTGATTCATTTGTTCAGGTAGAATAAGTTAAAGTAATTTAAACAAGATTTATCAATGTCTTTTATGTTTGACTTCTCATTTTTTCTGGAATTCTCCATCCTTTGCCATTTTCTTCATCACTGATCTTCCACTCCGTATCTCTTTAAACGTCAGAATGCCTGAAAATGCCTTGGCAAGCTTTAAAACACACCAAGAGGGCAACTATTCTCATGTATTACCCTACACCATCTTGGTGCATAATGTGAAATTCTAATCTGGTTTCTTGGTGTATGCACAGGTGGTCCTTTATGGTTATCATCGAGTCACTTTTTTTTTAAAAAAAAAAAGAAGAGTATAAAGGAGGTTGGTTGCTCATGTCTCCTTGCAGCAAGTCAGGTGCTCACCTGGAACCCCCATTTCATCTGCAGCTGCACTGACTCTAAGTTAGCAACTATTCGGAAAACAAATGAATGAATAAAATCTTTCTCTCCGTTACTTAAAAAACGCATGTGTCTTGCAGAAACTGAAATATGATTGATAGAGGCTTCCTGTGGAAGGCCTACATATAATGACTTTCTTAAAGTTCTGATCTAGTCAAGTAATGATGCTAAGGAGAGTGAGGCTGGGGGAATTCTGAACATTGTTGACTTCTTGCTTCCAGATGCACCTTGTCAGCTGGCAAGCCTTGTATGGGGGCACTGCAAATGATGCACCGTTTATTTGATTGAAACTGGGCTGCAAACAGGGTTATGCATTGCAGTAGCATTAGCTGGTAAATGTGGAAATGCTGTGCAATATGTTGAGATGCTGACCCACCTGACTTATTTTTGAGTGGACTGCAAAAGACAATCCACTTTCCTCTTCATACATGACCAAAATATGACGTGAGGGGATAAAATATCTTTTATGAGAAATTGTTTAATATGCCTATATCATTCAGATTTATATGTATTATAAAGATGGAAGCCTATTTTGAATAGACATGCTTACAATGTTTCACCTTAGCCATACCGATTTTTCCATATTAAAATAGCAGTAAAGCAATGATAAAGTTACCTATCAACATACTTCCAGATCCTTTGAAATAAATAATATTTGAACACTAAGTTGCCACATTAAATTGGTTGAGCAAAGCCATTCTGATACTTTTCTTTCAATATTTTTAGCAGCAAATGAAACATGCCTAAACTATTTGTATGTGTACTTAGTGCTAACAGTGTGTCTATTAAATATAATACTCAGCTCTGTGAACTGAGCACTGGCGTGCTGGTAAATGTTTAACAACCAATGCTCTAATTTATAGTTCTTTTTGCTGACTTCCATGGTGTACGTGTTGCCTCCATGACCAATTTCAAGCCACCAATATGATGACACTAAGCTTGAAACTGGAAAGAAAGATGCACAGTCAGCTCTGGTGAATTTACAGAGTTGGCCCAGCATACCCCTGGAACTAAGTTACTATGAAATTTCTACATTCTGAGGATTTTCCCTTTTCATTTTATTTTCTTTTTCTCTTTTTATGGACATCAGAGTTCTACAGGCCACAATTTCCTCATTTACAAGATGTGTTCACTAGAATAGGTAATCTCTCAGCTTTCTTTCTGCTCAATTCTTTAAATATCTTAATAATAATTTTCCTTCTCTAAATTTTAAGGCAACCTGAGCACGAAAAAAGAATGAAAGAAAAATTCTGTTTCATCTAAGTTTATATTCTCAGGACTTGGAGATGAAGGATAGTCTCTGAGGTAAAGCACATCATTTCCATTTCAACAAGGTTTATTTTTAAAAGTTCAAGTATTGTTTTCATAAATATACCACATGGGAGGCACCCATGATTTCTATCACAATGATGACAGTTCCTAGCATTCAGGTCAAAAAGAAAAAAAATTCTAGGTCAATGAGGAGAAACACACTATGGTCAGGCTATACCAGTTTCATTTCCACTTCCACATTTTCAAAATCAGCAAAATCAAAGGCATCCCTGTTTGTGAAGTGTAGGGGAAGTAACATCTAGTGTTCTTTGCAAGAATTGCATTTTAAATCTTTCTTCATGTCTAGGAAGTCACTTGGGAGGAGACCATGAGCTGAATATTAATGAGGAAAAGCTAATGGTATCATTGCAAGTGATATTGTGACCATAATATAACATGAGTAAAAATCACCCTTTCTTTCCATATGACCTAAACACAAACTCTATAGAGAACACCAGGTCTCTAGGCTATTCCAGGGGCTGAAAGAGTGGAAACGGTAATGCTAAGAGGCCTGACGGGCTTTAGACAGCTCTGAGGGGAAGGTTTGTCTCCTTGTTCTAGAACTTCATGTACAGAAGTGACCAGAAGAAATCAAGGACTAGATATATGATGATGTCTGTAGATGTTACTAGATAATGAAGAAGGAATCCAATAAGTATGGTCTAAAGATGTACTGATGGAGAAAGTGGTCATTACTCTCATGCATTCCTTCATTCAACGAATACTCTTTGAGCATCTATTGCAGGCCATGCCCTCTGCTAGCCACTGAGGATTTACTGGTGAAATAGGCAGACATTGTCCCTTGCCTCAGAAAGGAAATCTCTGATGGATGTTGGTATTTCTACTGACAGATTTAGTTGTTGATTGAACTGTTAACTTGTATTGTGTATATGGCAAGCTTCTGATGAACGTTTGTTAGATTAATGTTTCATGCAATAAGTCAAAATAAAAGATAACAAGTCATCTTTCCTTGTCACTGTGATACCACATCAAGGTTTTATGAAAAGAAACCGCCTCCTTTTTGCCTGAGTTGTTTGAAAGGTGCTTATAAATCACTGACTATGCCAGGTACTTCACTTCCTATCTCCCTTTAGCTCAGCTCTCAGAACTCTGAGATATGAGTATTTACATTTTTAAAACTAATTTATAAAGGAAAGAGGTTTATTTGGCTTACAGTTCTGCAGGCTGTAGAGTATTTCCATTTTATAGGTAAGCAAGCTAAAATTCAAAAAGATAATAAACTTGCTCTAAAATTACACAACAGTCAGAGTTCAAACTCATGACTTTGACTCAAATCCACACTTACGTTCTTCTGATACTGTAAAGCTTCCCAACACCACCAAGAGTGCTCAGACCATTATTTCACCTTTACCTGACCAGAGCATCTCCCATGTGAGTCTATGAGCTCTAGACGTTTTCTCCTTCTGTGCATGATGAGAGACTGCAAATCAGTGGGAGGCCCACTACCCAAGGAAGGCTAGAGCTCCACCTTTTGCTTTCCATACCACTGTTTTCATCTGCTCCTGACTGTACAGCCTCTAAAGCTTCACATAGAAATTTTATCCAAATCCTAGGCAGGGCCAGGAAAGTAATGAAAGAATTTGAGAACCCAAGTCTTGAAATCTTGGTCTCCCACTCAGGGGAATAAAATAATTGAACCCCAGCCAGAGATTTACAGAAACTAAGAACTTCAGGGAAAAAATAATGATGTTTTATGAATCCACATAAATAATGTCATTATTTTTTCTTAAGTCACCAAGAAAAGCCACAAGAGAAATGAAACTAGTTATGATTTAGAAAAGACACACAGACTGTGCTCAAGATTCATTGTGACTTTTGGGCTCTATTTGAGTTTTTCAGAGATTGACAGAAAATAAAGGCCTATGGCAACCAGCAGCTAGAAATAAAATTGCACTAGCCTTAATACACATTAATACTAGCTTTAATACACATTTGCTTCACAATACTTTGTGTGCAGCAAAGGCACTAAAAACTTGAATCAATGCACTAGTATCCATAGCAAGATTCTTATTTTCCTCTAGTTCTGAATGATGAGTCTTGGCTGCAGAAAGCTTTCGTTTGTACATTAACATCTATTTCTCTACTTGGTCCCCTTCTGTGCCTTTTTATTATACAATATGTGATTTCTTTTAAAAATTAGTGTTACCATTTCAACTTGTGGAATAACAAATTTGGTATGAATACCTTCTACTTTGAGCTTTGGTATAAGGTTAAAAGAAATCATATCTTTTTCAGTTGGACTTTTTCCCCAAACAATATATTTTTATTAATTATTAATTAGCAATGTTTTATTAATCACTATTCTTATTTTCCTTCTGCCCCTTGCCACCAAAGATCTTAGCTAACAAAGTACTGTGATGATTAAATTTAAACTAAATAACCAGGTGATTTTTTTAATGAATCATGTACAATTTGGTGCAAATAAATTGGCGAGATAT